GTCGGATCTTCTCAACTAACTCTTTCCCTTCATCCTCGATCTCTACATCCACTCTTCGTAAATGGTGAGGTTGAATTAATACCACACCGTTGTTATCGTCCTCCCCTTTCTCATGATCTGGTCTCCTAGATAATGCATCTGCTCTTCCCATAGTGTGTCCAGGTCGATGTATCAATACAAAATCGTAATTTGCAAGCTCAAGTGACCATCGAGCTTGCCGGCGGTTCAATTTCTGGGCAGTTGTGAAGTACTGGAGATTTTTGTGATCAGTGTGAATCTCGACTGTATGCTCCGCTCCTTGTAAGTGATGCCGCCATTCTTCAAGTGCTCGCATGATGGCTAACATTTCTCGATCATGGATTTCATAGTTTCTTTCGACGTTGGTTAAAGATTTTGATAAGAATGCAATTGGTCTCCACACGTTGTTCTGGTGTTGTAGTAACGTTGCACCTGTCGCATATCCAGAGCTATCAGCCTCCACTCGATAAGGATCTTTGTCGGTGGGAAATGCTAGCACGGGCGCTGTCATAATGGCCATCTTGAGTTCTCTAAATGCTTTTCTTTCTTCCCCTCCCCATTTCCATGGCTGGTTTCCGGTGAGTCGGTGTAAAGGACAACTCATAGTCGAGAAATGACTAATGAACCATCGATAGTAGTTTGCAAAACCAAGGAACTGCTGAAGTTCGCGCTTGTTTTGTGGTTCCGGCCAGTCACGCACCGCCTCTACTTTCACTGTGTCCATCTCCACACCATCCTCCGAGATTACCATACCAAGGTATTCTACCTTTGTCTTCTCCCATTCGCACTTCTCAGGTTTCAGTGACAGATTGTTATCGGCAAGGATTCACAGGACCTCTTTCGTAACTGCGCGGTGTTCTTCTAGTGTCTTCATAAAGATTAAGATGTCGTCCATATATACGATTACAACGCCTCGTGTAATCAGGCTGGAGAACAATTCGTTCATCATTGTTTGAAAGGTTGCAGGGGAGTTTGTTAAGCCGAAGAACATGACTAATGGTTCGAAGAGTCCACGGTTCGTGATGAATGCTGCCTTCCACTCGTCACCCTCTTTAAGTCTGATATTGTTATAGCCCCATCGAATGTCAAATTTTGTGAAATAACGTGCACCCCGCAGTTTGTCAATGATCTCAGAGACAAGTGGTAAGGGATATCGATTCTTTATTGTTCCTGCATTCAACCAATGATAGTCTTGTACAGGGCGAAGACTTCCATCTTTCTTCTTGACAAAGAAAAACAGAGATGCAATCGGGCTCTTTGACAGTCGAATTCTCCCGGATTGTAAGTGCTCTTCAATGAATTCATCCAATTGTCGTTGTTCATCTCGAGCTAGTGGGTAGATTTTGCTCGTAAATGGTGTACTGTTGTCTTTGAGTTCAATTGTGTGGTCCCACTTCCGTCGAGGTGGTAATGTATCGAAGGTCGACTTTTCGAAAACGGGGCTGAAGTCTTTGACATATCTGTCAGGAACGGTCGCATCTGCCTTCAATTTCTTCACACGTGCGTTCTCCTCTGCAAGATGTTGAGATATCGTATAGCTAGCACGAATGGACTCAACATCTTCTGGTAAGACAAACAGTCTTTCTCCTTCCTCTAATGTGTCCATATCTTCATTCTCATAGGTTTCTTCCTCTTCCTCGACCGTCTCTTCGTTATCTTCTTCAATTGCTCCTATCAAATTCTCATCCTCATTCCACACTTGGGGCAGACCACATTCTCGTGGACAACGATCAAACAACACCTTTGCTCGAGTCCAATCAATGCTAGGGTTGTGCTTTCGAAGCCATGTGTGACCGAGAATGATTTTGTTGGGGCCTGTATTAGTGACAGCAAATGTTATTGACTCAACATGGTCTCCGATCTTGACACATAGAGGAACAATGTATCAGATAGGGCCTCCTTCATTCAGGGTCCGGTCAACGTTATAAACCGGAATCGGATGTGCGAGCTTTTCGAGATTCAACCCTAATTCTCTCGCTAACGACTCATCAATATAGCAACCTGTTGCCCCACAGTCAAGTAGGCAGTCAACTGTGAATTTCATGGCAGTATCGATGGTCTGAAGCATTGCTGGAATGATAGTTGAATTGGCCTAGGCACTGCTCATTCTTTGTAGGACATGTCGTAATGGGCGACGAAGATCTTCAAGCATTCGAATAGCATCATCGATCGGGGCAGTTATCAAGGCTTGGAAAAGGGATACAGTGACTTCGTCTTGCTGCCGATTTGATGTCCACCTCCTCAATGCATAGATTGCTTTGTCTTTCATTTCTTTTAGCTGTCGTAGAAGTTTGGCTGCTGCACTCATATTGTTCGCATCATCTAAGCTTTCGTCCTCCTCCTTTTGTTCTGTCTCTGGTTTCAACTTCTCTGCATCCTCCGACTTCTTCTCCTCTACTTTATCTTGATCATCCGTGTTATCTTCAAGAATGCCTGATCCTCTAGCTTTCTCTTTTTCATTCATCAACTTTTCATCCTCATCCTCCACATCTTCGACCAAGGCTGCTTTTCTCTTCTTCTCTGGATGTGTGGCTTTAAACAGGATCGTAGAATCGTGTATTGTTGCTGACGTATTTGTACTAATACATTGTGTAGATGAAGAGGGCACACAATTCTTCACTCTTCGTTGGTAGGAAAACCCAATTCGGTGAGTAAACCCTTTTTATCATCATCGGGGAGATTATCGAACATGCTGCGCACGAACATACATGGAGGTTGGCGAGGACGCTTTGGTTCTGGACAGTTACGTGCAAGATGCCCTTCGCCGCCACAGTTGTAGCATTGAAAGGCACCCTTTGTTCCTCCACGAGTTTGATCAATTTCCATTGGCATTCCAGCACCTCCAAATGTACCGGAAGCAGGTGCTTGGGTTGACGTTTGTTGACTCGCTCCTCCACCTTGAGTCTGCGTGTTCGTCGTCGATCCTCCTCCACTTCCACCCGTAGTCACTGGTCCTCCTCCGTAACCTCCGCTATAACCACCACGAAAACCTCCTCCATATCCTCCACGACCTCCACTGTAACCTCCGCGATTATTCCATCCTCCATATCCTCCTCGACTGGTCGGGGTTCCACCGCGATTCCCCCCATCATTACCTCCTCTGTTTACATTGGGGTTAGTCGCTGTCATGGGCTGCTGGATGTGACGACGGTTGTCTAAGTTGGCTTCTAGATTTCGATGGTGATGATCTTTTTCAATGGTGAGTTTCTTCCACTCATCATACGTTGTAGGCTCTGAGGTTCCAATAGCTGCATACATATCTTGAAGGAGATGATTGGTAAGGCTTTTCTTCAAGACTCGAATCAATGCAACATCATTGTATCCTGAATCTCGCCTATAGACCTCGATTTCTTCGAAAAAGGTTTCAATCGGGATGCGGTCACTCTGAACGACCTTCTCAAGTTTGATCTGAGCGTCGTCCTGGTGGTTCGAGGTCTCGAAATGACCTCTGAAATCTTTCTCGAAATCTTCCCATGTCTTCCACGGCAACTCATCTGCATTCAGCCTTTCCATCAAATTGTCGAGCCATTTCTGTGCATTCCCTTCCAAATAGGTTATCGCGAACCTAACCTTCACGTCGTCATCATTACCATAGGCCCTAGGGTCGGCAAGGAAGAAGACTCGAAGACTAAGCAAGAAGCTGCGAACTTCGTCGGGTTTGCCATCATATTTCTTTGGTTTAGCAGCTTTGATCTTCCCCTGCCCCTGAGGCTGGTCTGAGTATCGGTTCTGTGTTAATGCAACAAGGAGTTCCTCCATCCGCTGATTAGACTGCTCCTGTCATATTACGGATTGCTCCTGTCTGTAATTTGACTCCGCCATCAATTGGTAAAAGATGTTTTGAGGAGCCTCTCCGTTCGACGACATTGGTACATCGTCGTCGATGAGGGTTCGAGGTGAGTGTTCGGACATAATGTCTCAGATTGCGCAGTGAACTCCGAGCAACAGTTCAAGTCTCGGCCATGCAGTATGTGTTACAGGGAATCGGTTTAGGTACAGTCTTGCGCTAATGTCAGCATCGCACGAGGGAAAAGGCCGAAAGGATAGTATAGCGGTGAATAGACCAGCGCAAGACTGGAATCGTATCTACGAAAGACGGAATGACTATATACTGCGAGAGTAAGACATCGTTCTATAAAAAGGAATAGAAAAGATAAGATAAAATAAGGCGATCATTTCCTGACATATTCGCAGTTACGTCGATTGACGTCCACAAACTGGGAGTAGACCATGTGATTTGACGCCATGCTTGACAAACACGTCAAGAGACAGTCATCTCCAGTGGCGTAGGACTGGAAAAAGCAGACGCGACTTCCATTGGAAAGCGGTCGATGATCGACGAATGTGTATTGTAGAGCTGGGACCGAATGTCGTCGCGTTAGATAATGAAATCTTGAAGTAAAACCTTCGCTTTTAGGATTTCGGCGTTCAAGTGGTCGAATTTCATACAGAGATTGCACATATTTCTCTCCAAAACAGGGCAGAGCTTCCTAGGATCTTCAAGTTCTTTCGGTTTAGCACAGACGCATGGTTGCATCACCAAACCTACTGGAGAGCTTTGAATGTGAGACGAATATACGGTTAATTTAGGATCATCGAGTCACCCTGTCACCCTTCTTCAATTCATTATTCAACACCTGATGCTGGCTGAATAAGTAAGTGCAGGAGTATCGGTGTGCTAGAACTGACCGTAAGCCCAGTATATCCAGCATAGCTTTGATGAACGTTCAACGGAAGCACCAGATTTCAGAACGCAGCCCGGTATGCTAAATTTGATGCTTTGGTTGGACGCGTTAGGCAAACAATGATCTCATGATCCCAATCCAAATTTATGCGACTTTGACACTTCCTTATTCCCCATTTCTGCCTATGTACAGGAGGTTGATATTATTTTTCATCATGTTTCAGTCTGCTAGCAAGACTTTTAGCTGTTAACTTCATAGTCTACTAAGGTGGATATCTGATCTTCCTGAGGCATTCAAGGCGCTATAGCCAAGTGGTTACGGCGACAGATTAGAATTATACCATGTTATCTGTTCCTCTTTGAGGGCGCAAGTTCAAATCTTGCTGGCGTCGGTTGTTTCATTGCCTGAAATTAAACACTTTTTGACCTATTTATCCGAAGTTTCTCTCTAAATTTTTATTTGCAACTGATAGTAAACCACTTACGCAGGAGTAATGATTATATCTTTTGAATGGAGTATCGATGTACATGGTATCTCATATAACAGGGTAAGGTGTGACTTGTATAGTCGAGTATATCTGTGACAGAGGACATCCCAGCGTTATAAAGGGATCACTTTGAAGCTAAGTCAGTGACATTCTACACCGCCTATGGGATACGTACTTTCACCCTTTCGTATGACTCTGAAGTACTAAGTGATCATTCTTGTCTCTTCTATCTATTCTAAACGGAACAAAATGAAGCACGCATGCTCGAGCATTTAACCTTAGCAAGATATCCAATATCCGAACAGGCCGGTGGTCTCTGGCTGTTGCTACTGGATACCACACATTAGGCGCTAATGAGACAATTGCTGTAAGCGCTTGCGCAGCATTCGGAGCAATGATATCCTGTACAGTACGTACTTTCGTTGGTAACGACGCAGCGCATAATAAATCATTACCCTTATGTATCCTCTTTCAGCATGCTGAGCGCTTGTGCTTGCTTACTTCATAAAAGCTGCGCCTTCGGGTTTTGACGGGCGGAGCACGACTGCTGAGTCTTTACGCTCCAAGGAAAGTTAAGCCATTAAGTAATAAATGTTCTTGGAACCTTATGATATCGAAATCTTAGTCGCGTCGTATGAATAAGTTTTGGCTTGGAATTTCTGCGGCAAAGAACTTGTCCTGGTATGCGGCGTTTTACGCAGTACTACGGGTCAAGACGCACCTTTGCATATTAGAAATTCCTTGAAGAGCCTACCCCACCCGAGAATGCTCCCAAGTAAAAGACGTCATTCCCAGTCATAAGAACACAAGGACACCCAAGGATTGCCCAGCTGAACAACCGAAGCGATTATGCCTCAAAGGCTTCTCTGCCGCCTCGGGCACGTCAGCTTCCGGGCCAATGGCATCCGTTCCGTTGCCGCTCATGGACTGACGTGGGCGCAATGGCAAATCACGGATTTATCCCTTATCATCAGTCTTCCAGGCTTCGATTCGAAGCGATACAGCCAGATAATCTTAGCGATGCCTCGAGGCAGACTTGCCTGGCGACCAAGTGCAAGGATCATCCAAGTACACTTGCCAAATTTGCACAGTGGGGGTTATCATGTCGACGAAATGGGCGAAAGAGACGGTTCCGAAAGCATTTGTATACGCTTGTTATGGCACCTAATTAACCAGTGAGGAAACACGACACGACTCTAATTTTAAGTACGCACAGACGCTATTAAAGTCCCTCTCCTCCTCCACGGACTGCGGTACCGTTTACATCCCGTCCATCCACTCCTTCCCGTCCTCAAACCATTACATCTACGAACAGAAGAAGTGAGTTCCTTGCTGCGCCTTGTGGAGATAACAAGAGCTGAATCGGTCGGGCCTAGATACCTGAAGCACACGATCAGAACGATGCCCTGGAAGAGTATCCCAAGACACTCACGTCGATGAGGGACGCACTCACCATAAATCGAGCAGACGGCATCACCACCACCCCAGCGAACGCACACCCTCTGATAGCACCCTCTTCTCGGGAACTTGCAGGCCCAGCGGTATCATCTCCTCAGATGACAGCAATTACCGGACTTCCGGAGGTGACTCATATCGCGTCCCCTACCCATTCAAAACCACCACGACGGCATATGGCTGAACGAACCCCAGTGTCCTTCGGTCCCCCTCCACTCATCCACGACCTCTTCCATACTCTCGCGTCCCCTTGCCCCCGCTGTTCAAAATTCACCCCCTCCTCGCGTTTGATGGGAATCCAGCCATCACCTGTTGATCGATAAACACCCTCAGCAAGCGATGCCCACCCCTGGGAATGTCGCGCATGGGAACACGATGCAGATGATTGGAAGCTGCCGTGACATGTACCACTGGAAGTCGTTGCCCGCCACAGATCCAGTCGTGAACATCCGTTGAAAATCCGCGTCCATCCATTCACGTCATTGATCACGGTGAACCCGTCACAGGGTGGAATAATAACTGTTGGAGACGTCCTTTATGCGGTGTACCACGGCATCAGACAGAGCGCAACAGGGGCGTTCTGCGCTGGAGTCGGACTGGATCCCAGTTTCATCTCAGGGAGGGAAATGATGAGTTATGGGAGGCTCGTAAGCCAAGAGCGAACGTTGGACCACCTGCTGGGGATGATGGCGTTAGCTCTCATGTTCGGCACCTCTTAGAGTTTAGAACACGTTGGGTGGGACTTACGCCGAGCAGAAAGGAGGGGGAGTGTGGGTCCTGCACACGAGGCCAATTGGTGACTAAGAACCCATCTATCGCCACAAACATCTCTTCCCTCCTCATCACCCATCTCCAATCAATTGCAACTGTCCATCCACGTAAACTGCAGACGTAACTGCAGACGATGAATATCATGCGAGCAGAGGGGCAAATCCATCGCAGTCGAGACGGACATCTGAATAGGCCTAGTGCTTGGATATCTCGCAATAAGTCGAGTTAGACAAGGCCATGATCTATTGCGATCATCGCCAAGATTGAAAGATACATATCGTACTCTCTACAGAGTCGAACCCCTGTATGAGTAATGTAGATACCCTAGTTAGCTGGTGATAAAGCCAGTAAAATACCAAATGTACGAGCCTGAGGACCTTTTTGTTTTACATGTCGCACTGAGTATTGGCAACGACGATGGATACGATTGAAGACGAAGGGATCATCGAACGTGGAGGTCCGGACTTCGGGACTGGGGGCGGCGCTGTTTGGCTTTATTTCTTGTAACTAGGCAGAGCTTCGGATTCGAAAGTCCGAAATTTGCTATCTTTAGGTTGAGCGCCGAGGGCCAAGTCACAAATCTATGGAGGCAGTTCACAAAATTACGTGACAAGTAAACATAAGAATAATTGACTAAATTCAAAGGCAAGTGCACCCAGAACGAGTGATTTTTATGCACAATCGTATTACCTACTACCTATTAGTACGGCCTACAACGGTACAACCCTTCTCTCAAGACCGATTTGTCTGCTTACAAAATACCACAGCAACCCTTTTTCTTGTCTCCTGCAGGAGCAGCTGGCGGGTGTGCAGCGTGATGAGCCTCCGCCGGAGCATTGTAAGCGTGAGCATTTTCAGGCGGGTGAGCGGACCCAGGAGCGTCATGATGTATATCAGCATTTGGCACGGGATGAGAAGAGCTTGGAGCGTTGACGTTGGGGTTTGCATTCGAATTAGCAGCTTGGTGCACTTGTGGAAGCCCATGTTTAACGGTATGAGCCAATACCATGTAGGAATCGGCATTCTGGTGCATAACTTCTGATGCGTGAGTCTTCAAGTGGTCGAAGTGTTCACTGTGTGCATCTAGAAAAGATATTAAATCTCATAAGAAAACCATTCGAAAAACGCACAGCAGAGTACTCACAGGCTTTCATAACGCCTGGGTTACCTTCATGTTTACTGCTGACAGCCTCGAATTTGCCAGGCTGGTTTGGGTCTTCCCGGAAGTGATCCTTTGTTCGTGCAAGAGCATGCGTTGCTTCGTGAATAACCGTTCCGGCCTGTGCATCCAGAGTTTTCCGATGAAATTTCTCGTAGAAGACTACACGATCAGCTTGTGCACCCGAGCTATGCTTCGCGATGGCATTTGTGGTTTCATTTCCTTCATCATTGGGAGCATTGGTCTGCGCGATATCAATTTTCCCTGTCGCAAGCCTGTTGATGGTCTTATGTATTTCTTCTTTGTTGTAGTTGGGCCCGAAAGCGTTGGTTAGATGGGCATGTAAGTCGGGGTGGTTTTCGTCCATCATCTTCTTGATGTTCATGATTTGGTTATGAGCTGGTGATAAGCGGTGCTATTAGACGGCATTGTATAGAAATGCTATTGGAGATAAATGTTACCTTCATTAACCGCCGCATGGACATTAGCCAGTGACGCTTGAGTATGATCTGTAGCGCCATTGAAGTCCGTAGGAACTATTGTCTGGTCGTAAAGGTCATCATGACCGTAAACCGTCCCAACTTCGAGAGGAAGGGGGGCGCATTGAACGAAGACTAGAATTCCCGCGTACGTTAAATGAAGTAAACAAAATGAACCAATAATGACAAGACGTACCAGCAAAAAAGGGCATCAGAATCGCCAGGTAAATTGCAGAACGCATAGTAGAATGATGATAAACAAGAAAGTACAGTATAGAGCAAGTTAAGGCAACCGGTGCCTAGAGTTCCTTTAGCAGCGGAAGAGAAGTATTGAGCTGAGGAATCGACCAGCGACTTGAAGAAATAGAGATGTCATTGTTTCCTTCTTTTATACGACAAAATCCAGCCGCAAATAATTACGAGCAAGCTCATCCGCAGACGATAATAATATATTTCCGAGGCATACGGCCCAAAACGAGGGGCTTCGTTCTCCTTCAGCCCATTAACGCTTACATGGAAAAATACCCGACAAGAGGAATGGTGTATCTGATTGCTGAGCCAAGACATTTCCATGTTTTATAGTTACAGTGTACATGTGACCGTTTCGCGAGTTTGGAACGTCAAAGAATCCGCTCTATAACATGGGGACCATTTGCTCACCGATAGGTGCCTGTCGTTCTCGATCAACAGACTTCAGACCCTCCAGCTACTTCGGAACCGACCTCAGCAACAGATTTCAAAAATCATTCGAATATATGTCATACGTACTCTTTTCCAGCCAAGGCGAAAGGAGCTGGATGGGATTCATCATTCAACAAGGCAGTATGAATATGGTATTTACTGCCGAAATGCCGAAATAGACGTCATTGGTTGTCCCAGTTTCTTTTTGTAAGTTTTTCTGACTCAACGGCGTCAACACCCTGCTGAAAGAATCTTCGTGCCGAAACGTCATGCATATGAAGTACCAAAAAAAGATTGCGGGCGGTGATCTGGTTTTCTTGATTTTAGTATCTAGAAAAGAAATGCACAGAAATATTTGG